CCTCTACCGACTCAACACTAGAACGGTAACATTACTTACAGTCTAAGATACTACCTACAGACAGACCACAAACCTTCACTATAAAAGTTGCCTCTCCTCTCACACTGAACGGAACATTACTTACAGTAAAGATCTCCTACAGACAGATCACAAAACCTTCACTATAAAAGTTGCCTCTCCGCTCACACTGAACGGAACATTACTTACAGTCAAGATCTCCTACAGACAGATCACAAAACCTTCACTATAAAAGTTGCCTCTCCTCTCACACTGAACGGAACATTACTTACAGAAAATCTGAGACATATTACAGAAAACATACCCAGGATCTAAAACAAACCATGTTACAAAGAAGTTATAAAGATACCAAAATTGACAGACAGCTCGAAAAAAGCTAACAACACTCAGCGGGAAAATATCCTAAAACAGAGTTTCAAATAGAATTATTATAATTATTACCTATCACTTTAAACAAGAAACGTTTCGCGAATTCTGAAAAAAAACAACAACATTATCGTCTTCTACAACTTAATGATAGCTTTAAAGAGATATTTCTTGAAGTTCACGTTATCTCATTCTGGAAAAGTAGAAGTCTAAAGGATATCCTTGTTCATACAGAAGTGAAATACACTCCATCAAAACACGGTTGTAATTCATGTAATAAATCTCCTTGTCAAACCAGCAAGTTACAAAAATTACTGACTTTTTCAGCCAAGCACAACTAGGAAACTTTAAAATTTCTAAAATAATCACTTGTGAAACACACCATTTACCTTATACAGTGTAAAAAATGTAATCACAAAAACAACTCTTAGAGAACATTTCAACAACTGTATCTTCCTGTTCCTCAACGCTTCAACCAACCCGGTCATTCCATTAACCATGCTACTCTCATCGGCACTGAAACCGACCTTGAAACTAAAACTGATACATAGATAAAATAAGCATATTATATTGTTAAAACTAAACACTGTTCAAACACGTGGAATAAGTCTAAATCCTGGAATCGGTAATCTCCAATCATTGGTTTGTCTTCTATCAGAAAAATAATTTTTATTTGTTTATTTATTTATTTTCTTATTCATTTAGTGTGAACTCTCAATACTTTATAATACGTACTATTTATATATATGATAATTTTCTATGCTTGTCTTTAGAAACTGATCTGTTTAACATTTTTTTCTCAGTGAATCTCCATGTGTCACATTTATTTTACTTTAACAACACTTAAGTATAGTTTTCTTGACCATTTCTAAAGGAAAAAAATCTCTAACATGTTTTTTACATAACGGACAATTTTGCGTGTTGCACCGGAAATGAAACACAGAACAGTGCATTGAAAATATTCAACACTTCCTTGCATCCCGGGTGACCTTCATGACGTCATTCAACTTCCTTTATATATATATCACTAATTCAGTTACACCACCATTTCCGGTCTCCACATGCACAGCTTTCTCGGATAACTTGAAACGTTTTGACATGTTAGCCCAGCATTCAAAATCCACTCCAAATAACTCCAACCATTTTAGTCCAAAATTATCCATCTCCACGTGTCATATAACTATAATTCCACGAGCGGGATGAAGAAAAACAGATGTTTCTGACCGCCCCTGGTTATCTTTCTATATCAAACCAAATTAACTATCAAAATAACCATCGAAGGTTATAGGGATTTTTAAGTTTTATAATAGCTAGTCTCAGTATCTGATCGTGTAATGTCAGACGTTCTGATAAAAAAGAGGTTTCTATGATTTAACGTTATTTACATATGCTAATGAACTGTTTTTTTCGTTAACAAAGGAAATACTATTATGTAAATTATTAATATATTCATAACATAATGTTTTGGGATAACATGGGACCTATTGGTCCATCTCGGCTGTTCCATCTTCCAAACCAAATTAAAATACTTTAAAAAAATCTTAAAGCCAGCTCTTATCATTCATATACTTATCAAGCTTTTTCTTAAACCAACGTATATTTACTGCCTCTACAACATCCGAAGTTAACCCATTCCAAAAGCC